GATATGTGATATATATATGATAAATAATAAAAGTGTTTCATAAACTATAGGTAATAGATATGCTACATGTAACGCATCTCTCGCAGTAGTCATTTAGCTAATCAGATTGCACAAATTATGATAAAAAGCCAGATCTTGATTATCTCGAGATCCAGTAATTAGATTTTAATAATTCTTAGCTCATTAGAACCGTCACATTGAGCTAATTCCAATAGTATATGTTTCATCCAATTCAGACCAGTGGATCAAAAGATATTAAGGAATTTGTGTTTTTCCTTATGTTTTATATGTTAACAGTGGGATGCTACAACCTATGATCTAATCTAAATGTTATCTATATAAGAATTTGATGAATAATATTTTATTACTTGATTATTTTCATTATCTTCATTTTCTGCCAACAATTTATACACAAGTTTTTCTTTCAAAACCTCCTAAACAATATAATCCTCAACAAATTATTTGGATCAAAGATAGTGGTGAAGAACTTTGGTCACTAAGTCTAGATTATACATTAAATAATGAAGAATTTATGAGATTATCGAATTTTTATCAAGCAAATTTAAATAAACCTATTGAAGAAGTAAGTTTCATTTTATATAAATTTTATAACTAAAAACATTAAATTGTTAAATTATGATGATAATTAATTCTTTATTTATAAAATTATTTATATTCAAGCTACAAGACTAGGGAGTAAAATATGCCAGATTGCACACAAGCTAAGGATATATGCTTGGTTCTTTAATGTCAATGACTTCAGCTAATTCACATAAAAATGCATGTATAATAGTAAGTTAATACTAATAAATAATTTAAAATACAATTATCATTCAATTAATACTTAAAACTATACTTATTAAAAATATTATTTATATTATAAGTATGAACTTGAAGTTAATATTTCTAAGTCAAAAAGCTTGGAGAAGTATGAACTGCGACAATTTTTCAGTCAAGTACAATTTTATTTTTATTACATATTCTATAGAAAATATCAGTTACTAGCATATATTTTTAATGCAAAAAATACAAAAAAGGAATCATATAGTTTATATAATTTTGAAGAATTTGGTAACTATGAATTTGTAGATGTATCAATGATACGAAGATGTGTAGGTTTTTAAAATTAAGAAAATACTCATATATTATCGATAAACAAATTATGTAATTTGACATATAATGTTTATTTAGATAAATTAGTTTAGAACTATTTTTTAGACTGAAATAAATAGATTTTCTATGCATTGGCTATATAATATGTAAATGGAAACATCAAGTGAACTTGTCATAAATGAATATTACATAAAAAACATTTTAACATTAAGCTTTACATGAATTAAGTATACAAGTCTTTGTCTTAAAAATCAAGTTTTAATCATATAATTAAAACTTGATTCAAGGCAAAGACCCATATTTCATTTTTTAACTTGCAATCTCATATAATTTTATACTTAATATCTGATATTTTATAGCATATTTTATATTTTGTATACGCATTATGCTTAATGCATAGTATATTTTATTCTTATCATTACGTGCTGTTTCATAGAATTTACGTATAATTATGTGAAATATACAGATTCGAACTACTCTTCAAAACATGCTATTTTATATGATATACCAGGAATGGAGTACCAGGAATGGAGTATGTAATACGAAGTGTATGGTTTACGAAAGAGTTAAGTGTGTGTCTCTTTTGTATCTGATTGGATGATCATTGTCGTGATT